AACCAAGCACATCAGATGTTGAGGTTGTGCTGCTGTGAACGTTAGGAAGTGATGTTTTTGTTTTCCTTACAGTTTTATTGCGCTGCACTGAGTGGACAATAAAGTACAATTATTCACCTGGATGTGCAGCTCAGCATGGGGAACTTAGCCATTCTATCAGCCGTGAAATTACCACCGCAGTGAAGATGCGGGGTGCGTGTCTTCAGTGTAGTTTACGTTTACATTTCCTTCACGAGCCACCTGCGTTTCCCTCTAAACTGCCCTTATTTATAATTTTATCCCTTTTTAAAAACCAGCCTGCTAGCCTTTTTAAGTGGTTTATTTTTTCTGTATATGATATAATTTACTAATATAATTTTGGTTCATGTCACTATTTTACTTTGGTTGTTTTTTTTCTAATACAAAACTTTTATTTTCATATTAAGATGCTGACTTGCCTTTTTCTTTAATAATTTCTGCTCCGTTAGTTCTTTTGTTACTATTGTTTAATTGTGGAAGGACATGCACCTCTGACTGACTGGCACCAGTTCCCAGTTCTTCTGTCTCCAACTCTCAATCGCTAGGATTACAGGTGTGCAGCATCAGTCTGCTTGTGACAGTCTGTATGTAACCCGAGCTGGCCTCTCGCTATGGTGATCGTCCAGCCTTGGCCTCCTGAGTACTCGGATTGCAGGTGTATGTCGTCACTCTCACGTGACATCCCATGGAACTCATGGTGTTGAGTCAGCCAGGCATCCACATAGACTGAATTGGGGCTGGGGGCTGACTCAGTGAGTAAAGAGTCTGTGAGGTCAGTCCTCGGAACTCGGGAAAGCTGAGTGTGTTGGTGGGCATCTGCTCCCTGAGCGCTGGAGTGGGTGAGTACAGGCGTGTGAGGAGCTGTGCATCCTTCTTAGAGCTCACTGGCTAGCCAGACTCGCCAGGTTGGTGAGGTCCTGGTTTAGTGAGAGACCGTGTCTCAGAAAACTAGGTAAAAAGATGATTATTAACCTCCAGCCTCAAACCAGGTGGTGGTGGCTCACGTCTTTAATCCCAGCACTCAGGAGGCAGAGGCAGGTGGATCTGAGTTCAAGGCCAGCTTAGTCTACAGTACAAGTGCCAGGACAGGCTCTAAAGCTACACAGAGAAGCCCTGTCTTGAACAACCAAATAAATAAAAACAAACAAACTGGGGGGAGAAAAACAATCTGGCCTCTACACAAACATGTGTTCACATTTATGCCTACACACATAGTGAAATTAGACTGTTCTTTTAAATATCAAAAATTAGTTCCAAATTAATAACAGACCTAAGTTTAATATAACTAGAAAATAGATACAATATTTGTGACCGTGGACAGAGAAAAGATCTATCTGTTAGACACAACATTTAAAAGGGCATGTGATAGAAGATGGGTAAGTGGAAGAGTTGGTCCGCTCGGCTCTGTGTTTCAGTGGGGACCGTGAGCAGTGAAAAGGCCAAGTACCAGTGATCTTGTGCAGAAAGATAAATGACTGTGAGACCAGTCTGGCCTCTGATTGTTTCGTATTGTTTTTGAGATGGAGTGCTCACTTTGTAGTCCTGACTAGTTTCAGATTCACAGGGTAGACCAAGCTGGTCTCAAACTCAGAGATCTGCCTGCCTCTGCCTCATGAGTGCTGGAACTAAAAGTGTGGGCTACCATACCCAGCTAGATTTTAGAATTGTATAGTCTTACTAGTCAGTAGTCCCTTAGTTAGTAGTTACCTGTTTCACATTTTCAAACGTTTTATGATTTTCTCCTTTTGTTCCTTGTATGTTGTGATTTTGTGTGGCACCTGCACCACCTGGAACCGTGGTTAGGCAAGGGTCTGAAGAGAAAGAACACATAGAGACGCGGACCACTCTTGAAGCAAGAATGCCAATTTTATTGTGTTCCAGGGCAGCTTATATAGTGGCCACGCCCTAGCTCTCGGGATTTTCCACTGCAAGCCCACCGGAAACCACTTCCTTGTTATCAGGAACTCATGAGGGTTTTGTGCTCAGAGCAGCTGCAAGCATAGGAAAACATGCTGTTTACTCCGGCAGGCAAGAAGGTCATAGAAAGTTTGGGGCCTGAGGGTCTGCAGTCCCTAACAGCTCCCCTTTTCTATATTAGACCAGGCCTGGCTTAGACTGCAGAAGCACAAATTCACATCTTACCTGTCATCAAGACACACAAGGCCTGTCTTAGGTTGATTGTGACAGGCTCCTGTCTTACCTGTCTCTGGCTCACTGGCCATGTGACCCATACTGCGCTTGGAGGAAACCTGCTTACTTGGGCAAGCATTAGCTGCTTAGCAACAATATTAAAGTGCTTACTGTTGTTGATGCTGATGCCTGTTATAAAGGCAGAGCAATAAAAACTCTCGAGCTATTAGAGTTCCTAGGGTGATGACAGTCCCAGACCAGCTTTTCAGCAAGCCTAGGCCATAAAGAATGCCCTTAGTTAGAGAATTTATGGAAATAGGAAGAACACTAGTCTCATTAACCTCAAGGAATGCAGTAAAAGGAAGAAATTGCATGTTTCATGGTCCCTTATGAATTCAACCGGCTGACAGTAGCACTAAGGTTCTTGACTGGCCCCTGCGTGCCACAACTATGATTTAAGGAAGGGGAGCCACTAACCATATGCAAATCCTTTAGAAATCTAACTGCCCTTGTAAAGGGGCGGTCTGTAGGTTAAGTTAGAAAATGCCCTGGCGAATATGCTCATTAAGGGAATTTTGGGTCTCTAAAGCAGTGGCAATCTGTCTGGCTAGGGAATCAACAGTGCTAGTCACAGCCACCGTCTAGCTGATGGCAATTCTGGCTGCTGCAATGAAGGCCACAGCAGTGACAATAGCGACCATTATAGCTGTGGTATCTCAGCGAGGATGGCTCAGGACCAGCTGATTCACTGGGATAGGTACCAAGCCTGGAACCCGGACCACAGCGGCAGTCATCTCATTCATCCAACAGCTGCTTCAATGATATGAAACTTGAGAACAGTAAAGGGCAGAATCATTCGAGGTATGGTTAGTTAAAAGAAAGAAAAATGGCCTGACATACAGACAGCTACACAAAAAGTCTTATTTTGGCTCTGGTCGCCGCAACTCTTCCACTTCCCTCCCACTAGCTGAAGGGGCAGTTGCTCTGTAAAAGGGGTTCTTTCTCCTGGGGCAGGGCAAAAGAATAGACATTTTCGAGATGACTCAGAATCACTATGATCTGAGATCTGAGCCTCCTCAGGCTCCCCCAGCTCCCTAGATCTCCCCTGCATGATGCCAAGGACTCTCTGTCCCCAACATCATCCATCATCCCAAAGGCTTCCCCAAGCTGCCCCCCACCCCACAACCTTCAGTAAGAATAGACTAGCCTCCATATGGAAAACGTAGCGATTGGAACAATCATTTAGGGAATTTGGGCATAGTTCTCTCCAAATGCTTACTGCATTTTTAGGGGCAAAGTAATTTTGGGAGGTGTTCATGGTGACCTTTCTGGGGGTCTTGGGCCATCAAACCACATTAGTCTAGAAGAAATCCTTATGTTCTCATCTTCTGTGGAAACAAAAGCAGAACCTCTTTTCTAAAGCAACAAATTCTTCAAGATACCTTTAAAGTATATATGCTGGTCCAGCTTAGCAGTTCATACAATGAAATGTCTCTCTATACTTAGCTCCTTCACAGTCAAAAGATTCAAATAAACACAATATACATAATCTAAATTCTCTGTCTATATGCCATCTTTACGTGGCTTATTTTTCTTTATTCCTCTTACTTTTTCTACAAGTTTACTCTGTCTCTTTAAAGACTTCATTTTAAGAGTCCGCCCCCATCCTTACAATTCACCTTCTCTTTGTTACTCACCTGCTGAGACTTCTCAAGCACTGGTCCCTTTCCTCATTCAACTTGAGTTTCTCAAGGCAAACTTAACTTTTGTCCCCAGCTTCAACTCTAACCAAAGGGACAACGGAGACCATGAAATGAAGTCAGAGGATGCTGAGGTGATGGAATACCAAGTTTTTAAGTGTGGCTTACCTGGTAGTAGTTTGAGCCTTTCAGATCTCATTTCTATGATTCACTAGGTGAGTCTGTCACACAAAGTGCTTCTGTTGGCTAATGCTCTTCACTACAAAAGCATGTGCTCTGAATACTGAGTGCTCTGTGAATTCTGTTTTCACTGTGTCAGTAGAAAGGTGCTCGGCTGGCTGTCTCCTTCTTCCCTTTTATGTGATATGTTTTAATCTGTCTGTACATTTGTATGTGAGTGTGGTCAAAGGACAGTTCTGATGCTGGTCCTTCCCATGCTGTTGGTTAGAATCTCTTGTCCATCATTTAGATGCTCCTGTCTCTGTTTTGCATCTCCTTGTAGAAGCATTGGGATACAGATTTTTTTTGCCTGTTGCATCTTTCCTCCCGTGGGTTCTGGGGCTCCAAACTCATGCCCTTATGCCTGCAAGGGAAATGCTTTATCTGCTAAACCATCTCTCCAAACCCCCTCTTTCCTTCTTTGTTCAGCCCCCAGCCCATGATCTGGTGCTGCTCACATTCCAGGTGCCCCTCTTCTGTTAAACTGTCCTGCAAACACCCTCAAGGACACAACCGGTGGTGTCCTCATTAGTAGCCCAGGAGTTTGCTCCCAGATCTCATCCTATTCTGTCACCTAAGGTGGTCTCCTGCTCCCCCGTCCCTGCCTCTGCACTGTGGCCTAAACGTGTTCCCCGTGCTCTCCAGGCTCTCAGGGCGTTCATCTCCTGTTTCTTGGCTCTCAGAATGATTCTCTTTTGTTGCCCCTTGTTGTTGTCGGAGAATAGTTTATTTTCTGCCTTCAGGTTATTTCAGTCAGGAAGCCAATTCATTCCCTTTTGCTCCATCTTGACTGGAAAAAAATATATCCAAAGATTTTAAAAAATAAAGCCAGTTCAATAAATCTTGCCAATTAATTTTTCCAACATGTTTTTTTTTGTTTGTATTTTAATGATAAATTTACTGGTTTAAGTAAATTTTCTGTTACTTTTACAGCTTGCCTCTGAATGTTGAATTGCTAAATAGCCCAGACTTACTAGAAACAACCATTGGTGATGTAACAAGGACATCAAATACGAGGACATCCCTAGCACCAGATGACATTAATGTAGCCACCAGGTCAAATGAATTAGAGGAGCCCAAAGTGGAATCTGAGAGTAAGTACCTGTTCTGTAACGTCTAAGGGACATTTACAACATTTCTGTTTCACGTATTTATTTGGTGGGGTATTCCATGTTGTGCACGTGGAGATTGGAGGCCACTTTGCAGGTCGCATCTCTCCCTTCCACCATGTGAGTCCCAGCCATCAAAAGTAGGTCCACATCCTCAGGTGTCGAATCAAGCACCTTTACCTGATGAGCTGTCTCCAATCCCAACACCTTTTGATTACATCCTTTTTTGCTGTTTAATTTTTATCCTGACTAGTTTTTCCTCCCTCCTCTCCCCCCAGCCCCTCCCTCATCTCCGCTATGCCCTGCCCCCAATCCACTCCTCTGTTTCTGTTAAGAAAAGGACAGTCCTCCCCTGAATATCAACAAAACATGGTATATCAAGTTGCAGTAAGACTAAGCACCTCCCCTTGTATTAAGTAAGGCTGGGCAAGGTGGCCCAGTGTAAGGAATAGAGTCCCAAAAGCCTGTAGAAGAGTCGGAGATAACCCTGTTCCTGCTGTCAGGAGTCCCACAAGAGGACCAAGCTACACAACTGTCACATATATGCCACATATATATAGTCTCCCTGGTTGTCAGTTCAATCTCTATAAGCTCCTGTGAGCCCAGGTTAGTTGACTCTGTGGGTTTTCTTGTGATGTCCTTGATCCCTATGGTTCCTACAATCCTTCCCTTTCTTTAGCAGGATTCCCCAAGCTCAGCCTACTGTTTGGCTGTGGGCCTCTGAATCTGTTTCCATCAGCTGCTAGGTGAAGATGCTCTGGTAACTGGGCTAAGACACCAATCTTTGAATGTAGCAGACTATCATTAGGCATCATTACATTGACGTTTTTTTCCCCTCCAGTCATGTCTGGTTCCATCCTAGGTCTCTGGGTCTTCCAGCCTGTGGGTCCTGGCGCTCCAGGCAGTGTCAGGGGTGGGCTCCCTGTCATGGCATGGGCCTGAGACTGGGCCAGTTGGTTGGCCACTTCCACAATGCCTGTGCCTCCCTTACCCCAGCAGATCCATAGGCAGAGGCAGACTGTAGGTTGAAGGTTATGTAAATGGGTTGGTGTTCCATTCCCTCTACTGGAAGTCTTATCTGGTCACTGGAGATGGCCAGGCAACTCTTATGGCTGTGAGTCTTAGCTGTGGTCATCCTCGTGAATTCCTGGGAGTTTCCCTTTCACTGGGTTTCTATCTCACCCTAAAATACCCCCACTTTTCCAATCATCTTTTTTAGTACTTCCCCCCACACACACCTCCCCACCTGCCCCCAGTCTGTCCACGAAATCTTTTCTATTTCTCTTCCCCATGGGGATCGGACCATCCTCCTTGATAGCTAGCCTCTTGGGTCTGTGGATTGTAGCATGGTTATCCTTTACTTTACAGCTAATATCCGTGTATAAGGGAGTACCTGCCGTGTTTGTCTTTCTCAATCTGGGTTACGTCACTCAGCATGATTCATTTGATTTTCTAAAGACAATAAGTCATTAGACATTCTTCACAAAGCTGGAGAGAGACGGCTCAGAAGTGAGAGATGCTCTTGCAGAGGACCTGAGTTTGATTCCCAGCACCCACATTGCATGGCTCACAGTAACCTGTAACTCCAGCTCTAGGGGCCTACATCAACACATATACACCTACCCACACACAAATACTCCTATACATGTAATTAAAAATAAATCTTAAAAAATTCTCCATTTTTGTTTTAATATCTGTCAGATATTAGTGCTTCCTTTGTCATAATTTCTTTTAGATAGTTAAATTCTTGCCCTGGGCTCTACCTTCTTTAGAAATGGTTGCTATTCCTTAAAGTGAGAAAGATAAACGATAACAAACCAAAGCCTTCACATCTGGATCCTGCCAGAGGCAAAACTACCTTAAAGTAAAGTACTTCTAGGATCAGAATAAAAATAGCCTGCTGTTAGGAGAATTCCTTCTTGGGGGAGATGTGAACAGAATCTGAACCTTCCTCATAAGGTCCCCAGGACAAACCAAAGTCTGATTCCACCAGAGGCAACAGTGAGTTGATTGTGCTTACTTCCAGAGTGTGAGTGAGAAGTTAGAGGTGAGTGTTGCTGTCCCTAAAGCAGCTACACTGGAAAGTCTGCACCCAGCATGGCTGAGAGCTCCCCAATAGCCGTGTAAATGAATCCCTGTTAGTCCGTCTTCCACAGCCCGTATACTCTAGCCCCTCCCAGACACTTTCTCTCCAGCCATGTGCAGTTAGGATGGAATTGTATCCAAATGGCTGGGGGAATGCTAGACACTCTGGTGAGGGTCCAGTGACCCAACTCCCCTTCCATCAGGGAATGTCAACAGTCCCCAGGCCAAGCATTGTGGACTCACACAGGAGCATTCGATCTCATGAATATGATGGCTGCCTGTGTTCTACATCTTATTTATGGAGATGGAAATATTGATTTTATTTACATTCTGTTTGATACTATATAAATTTTAAAAGTTTAGTTGTTCCTTCAGTGCCATATTAACTTGTATTACCAAAGAATTATGAAGTATATAGTTGTTAGCTGATTGTAGTAGGTGAGAATGACATGGTATAATGGAGTAGGGTTCCCTATAAATTATCAAGTGAGAGTCTAGAAAGATGGCTCAGCCAGGGCGGTGCTTGTTGCACAAGTCTGATGATAGAAGTTTGATCTACACATAAAGGTAGAAGAAGGAAATGACTCAACACAGTTGTCCCCTGACCTCCACACACCCACAGTGGCATGCACAATCTCCCTCCTACACACTCATCATGTACATACAGTAATAAAAATATGTAAATTTTTAAAAGATCAAGATAATTTTCTGTATCATTTGAAGTCATATGTGAAGTTATTTATTTATAGTGATTTGCTGGTGAGTATTAGTAGTTTACAAGTGTAGCAAAGCAAATTTTGTATCCGTATAAGGAAAATATTTTAAGTTCCTTCGTCTATACCCTAGATATAGACACCTAAGGGTGTGTTTTCATTATAGAAGGTATTCAAGAAAGGCTTGAATGCTATTGAAGTGGTGACAGAAGAAATTCTTCCCAAGAAAGGTATCTTGTTAATGTAACTGAGTTCATAGTTATACCATTTCTCTAAAGCCAATCAATGAGACTAGGTAGAGCATTCTTATAATATATTATAATATATTCTTATATAATACTATAATATTCTTATATGATATATATATTCTTATATTAAGAGTGGAAGTCCTCCAGTTAGGGAGATGGCTCCACTGGTAAAGTGGTTGCCCCAAAATCATAAGAACCTAAAGTTTAGATCCTCGGCACCCACATAAAATCCAGGCATGACAGCACCTGTCTATGACCACAGCAGGGCAGGGGGAAGAGCAGAGATAAGAGGATTTCTTCGCTACCCATCCCCCAGCTCACCCTAGCTAAACTGATGAGCTCCAGGTTCACAGAGAAACCCTGCTTCCAAAAAAAAAAAAAAAAGTGTTAGTAGAAGAAGACTTCTGGTCTCTGTGCTACACATCTTCTCACACAAACACATACATGCACATACAGCATTCAGTATTGTTTAGAGAGTGAAAGTCTATTTGGTCTTGTTTTGTTTTGACACAAGGTCTCAGTGTGTAGCCCAGACTCACCTACAACATGCTATGTAGTTTAGGCTGGCGTTGGGATCACTTGCAGTGATTCACTTGCCCCAGCCTTCAAAGCCTTGGGAATGCAAGCATATATTCTTATGCCCAACTTCATCTTCTCTGTCTTCCTGTCCAATGTACTCTATATTTTATAATGGTTATAGTGTGAAAATGAAGAACGATGTTAAGTAATTTGAAAAACAATACACCTGGCATCACACATAGAGGCATGTGAACAAGGCTAAAGTAGCTCAGCCACAGGGCTTTTGCACAGGTTGCACAAGCAAGCAGAGCAAGCAGGCCAGCACTCCAGGGTGGGAAGGTCTCTAGTTTTGATCCTGTCACAGTGTAGTCCCTGTGTCACCCCATTGGTGGAAGCTCACCTTTATAGACTGATATGATTGGCTAATTCTTAAATGCCATTAAAGGAAGAGTTGCGGTAGAGTCAAGTCTAAGGAATGTTTGGCATCCAGGGCTCTGTAAACAGGCATATATGCAAGTTTCACAAGGTGGAGGAGGTTTGCAAAATACTGGCTCTGGGTGGTTACCTATCTTTGAAAGAAAAGACTTTCCAACACACACCCCATGATCCATTTTTTTTTTTCAAACTCAGCCAGCATACACTGACCTTCTGAAGTCTCTAATAACAAATTATTGTTAAAAGATGCTAGGAAATGTTGGCTGAGAGTGGTCTGATGGACACCAAGACAAGGCCCCTAAGGGTTTGTTAGCATGGCTTAAGGTGAGCCACCTTCAAGGAGTAGCCCTTGGACGTGAATCTGACCAGGACCAGCTTGAATGTTAGGTCTTTTAGTGAGCCTTTACCTGGTCTAACATTTTCCTCTTGGAAGAGGTAAGAGGTAACCCTGACTTATTTAGAAGCAGGTCAGATGCCAGACTCTCTGGAAAGCATGAAGCTACCATGAGGCACAAGAATATTTCTGGCTTTCAGCCAAGAAACCGGTTCCCTCCAGGGAGGGAGCATATTCTTACCCTAAACTGTCCGGCCAGTTTGTGCCCCTGTCCTCATCACTCATCACCTCCAGACAGAACCCTGGCTGCTACTACTGTAGAATCGGGGCAGTGGCAAGGGCACTGGGAAGTTTTATAGGGCAACTATTTTGATCTGTTCCATGTGGTTGCAGTAACCAAGATGGTAGTAAAGTCACATGACCTTCCCAGTCTTAAGGATGTCACATTTCTTCCAGCTTGATGGTGATAAATCCACATGCTTCCTTTCTACTGTGGTGAGTTCAGTCTGTGAGAAAATGAGCCCACCTCACATTGGGACTCAAGTCTGTGTGGGATCCACATGTTTCGCAGGCTGAGTGGAGACTCTCACCTTCTTTTCTTTATATATAGTTAGGTTAACATGGGCAGAAAAGGAGACAGTCCATGTGGCCTAGGCCCAGGAAAGCAAAGATACAAGGAGGAGTCCATGTATCTCACCACAGTTGTATTTGTGAACACCAACCAGTGTCATCTGGATCCTATGTGATCTCTGCACACCTTCACAGTACATGCATGTGCTGGCAAAGGAGCCTGTTAGTGAAGCAGCAGGAATGGGAGGTGGCTTCACGCCCACGTGTGTGCTGTAGCTCTGAGAGCCCTGGGTCACCTGGGCCCCGTGTTGTCCCACCTGAGCATAGTGGCTGCTGAGATGAGACATGGGTGACTCCGACATGCTGCACTTGTGAAAGCAGTTCCTCCTGAAGGAAAGCTGAGCAGCCTTGTGCGGTGCTTTTAGTAAGGAAAACAACTGCCTGGAGACCACACGGTCTTAAGGCTGTGACAGGCCACCACTCCAAGTGGTTATTTGCCCTCCCTTCCCCCAAACCTGATTCCAAAGTTTCCCGGCTTCTCTGAGGGAACCATAGTGGAGAAGAAAATTTTATGTCCAGAGAGAAGTTAAGGAGCTAAACATAACATTTAGTTTCCGCCCTATGGCCATCAGTCAGTCACAAAAGCCTGAGGGAATAAGATCTGAGGTTTTCTCTTGGGGTGGGGGTGGGAGGCTTTGAAGATCCCTTTCAGGTTGCTAGATTTCTTTAATCTCCATTCTCATCAGATAAAGGACTAAGTCCCTTTCTCCAAGAGAATGTAATCAGTTGTCCTAGTCAGTGTTCTGGTGCTGTGAAGACACTATGGCCAAGGCAGCTCTTATAGAGGAAAGCATTTGATTGGGGCTGACTTAGAGTTTCAGAGGTTTAGTCCATTATCACATGGTGGGGAGCATGGGGGCTCACCCACAGACATGGTGCTGGAGAGGTAGCTGAGAGTTCTACACTCCAATCTACAGGCAGCAAGAAAAGAGAGAGCCACTGGGCCTGGCTTGGACTTTTGAATTCTCAAAACCCACTCCCAGTGACACACTTCCTCCAGTAAGGCCACACCTACTCCAACAAGGAAATACCTCCTAGTCCTTCTAAAGTAGTGTCACTCCCTGGGGATCAAGCATTCAAACATAGGAGACCATGGAGGCCCTTTTTACTGAAATCATCACATCAGTCTCTTCCTGAGCAGTGAGATTCTTGTTGCCAACATGTTCAGTTAGGAGTTGGTAGACCCAGTTCTCATGGAACCCTTGAATTTGGTCCAGAAGACCAAAGGCTTACAGGTGGTCCTTGGGTCCACATGGAACAACAGTTCTTTATCATCTGTAGGTTTGGTTTTATTTTTTGTTTTTAGTTTTCTCGTTACCCTTCTAGTTGTTAAGCACAAGTCCCAATGAACTATCAGAGAAAGTTTATTCTTTCATTTTTTTCTAGAGCTCTGTTTATTTTTGCAATTTCCTATCCTGACTTCCAAATATGAGTCCCTTAGAAACTGAATCCCCATTTCCCTGGACTAGAGGCTTCTTATACTCCAAGACAGCCACTTTGCCACGTCTTGTCAAGTTGATACAAATCCCTAACTGGATCTGAGAGACGCTCTGTGCAGTCACCTGAGCACCGGTGGAATTGTGGACTGAGCTCCACATTCCCTTCATGCTCAGAGCACATCTCATCCAATTGAACACAGTATCCAGGGCATCCCAGTGCCAAGTGAATCTCATCACTTGAGCACAGTATCCAGGGCATCCCAGAGCCACGTGAATCTCATCACTTGAGTGCAGTATCCAGGGTATCCCAATGCCAAGTGAATCTCATCTACTTGAGTGCAGTATCCAAGGCATCCCAGTGCCAAGCACATACTTTGCCACTCCTCATCAATCTTCTTCCTTGTTCTGTGCATGGAGTTTCCCCGGAACTGCAGAGCTCTACTGGGCCCTTACCCATATTGCTGAGGAATTTTACATTCTGGGATGGGACTGATCCAAGGAACGTCACTCACTGGGAACCTGGGGACCACTACAACAAAGCTGTGGAACATGATCTCCCCAAGGGAGGGGGATCTGACTAATCCAGATAGATTTGAAATCCAGGATATCCCCAAATTGTAAAGGAATATTCCTGCAGTCACACAAAGAGAAGCACAGAAGTAACTCAGCAAGGCAGTTACAAAAGGGTGCTTATCCCAAACCAAGCAAGCACACAAGGTGGGACGTTTACTGTGTCACCTGATGGTGGGGGCTCTGCCTTACAGTCTAACATGATGGGCTAATCCCTACTCAGTACAAAGGGAAGGGGTGTGATAGAGTCAAGTCTTGGGTCTGGCATCCAGAGATTGTCTAAACAGGAATGGACCCAGAGTTTCACAAGACAGAATGCTGGCCCTTGGTGGACTACTCACCTCAGAAAGAAAAGTTCTTCTCATGGTAAGAGTGGATACAAAATAGTAGCTAGATTTTTGCATGGTGTTGGTTTTGCTCATTTGTTCTGTATCCCAGAAGGTTTGTCAGCCAAGCAGTTTTAGTTCAAAACAAGAAAATATTAATTTATCAGTGCAAGCTAAAACATTTGTGGTGTCAGCGTTATGCTAAGTTTGGTCAATAATTTAAAACTTAACAAAGCCAGAAATAGGAATTAAGTAAATGGATAAGAAGGATTTAGTAAAGACCAGCACTGAGTTGGTGACTTTTAGCTCTGAGCTAAAGAAATGTGCAGTATCTAGAACAGAGGTTCTCAGCCTGTGGGTCATGACCCTTTTGGGGATCAAATGACCCTTTCGTATATCCTACATATCATATTTATATTACCGTTCATAACAGTAGCAAAATTACAGTTAGGAAGTAGCAGCAAAAAGAATTTTATGGCTGAGGATCACCACAGCATGAGGAGCTGTGTTAAAGGGTCAGCCCAGCAATGGGAAAGTTGAGAACCACTGCTCTAGAGAGTCTGGTAAAATTATTCTTGACCAGTGCGATGGTTCAGTGGGTAAAAGTGCTTGCTAAGTAAGCCTGGCGGCCTGAGTTCATCTGCAGACCCCGTGGTGGCAAGAAAGAATGAAAAGGATGCAAACAGCCTCTCAGAGCTGTCCTCCGACCTACACACGCACACACATTCCAGAACCAGAGATTTTAAAAGATTACTAGGACAAGTCTGGGAATTGGCAATTCCTTGAAGGCTCTAGATATAGTTCTAATGTGCAGCCACAAGAAGCCCCTGGATTTATTGACAGGCATTTTCAGAAGGTCCCTTCGACGCAACAACCCTCCTTCCTCTAATTTTTTTTTTGGGGGGGGGGTGAAGGGACAAGGTTTCTCTCTAGCCTTGGCTGTCCCAGAACTCACATTTTAGTGGCTGGCCTTGAGCTCAAACCTGCCTGCCTCTGCCTCCCACGTGCTGGAGTGAAAGGTGTGCACCACCACCACCCAGCTTATTCCACTCTTAATGAAGAAAGCGCAGAACTTCAGTGCGCACCCTCCTGTAACTGTCAGAGCCAGGCAGACTAATGAAACAGATTGTTGTTTTTTTCTTCCAGCATTAAAAGATGACACAGAGAAGCTTAAAGAGCTCGAAATGGAGCAGAATATCTTGCCATCTCCTCGACCTCCCATTGACATTAATGTCAACAGCCAGGTACTGGGATCTTTTCTGTGTCTCCTTATTATACAGCATCATCATACTTCCCAGAAAGACATTTGCAGCTGGAGAGAGGGGTGGGTTGGTTTCATCTTAAGCTTACTGTCCTCCATGAAGGGAAGTGAGAGCAGGAACCTAGGGCAGGAAGTAAAGCAAAAGCCATAGCGGGTGCTGCTCACTGGCTTACTCTCCAAGACTTGCATAGTGTGCTGTCTTCTACAACCCATGACCACCTACCGTGGTGCAGCACCACCCACAGTGGGCTGGGCTCCACCACATCAGTCATTAACCAGCTGCTCACAGTTTGCCAGCACACCATCCTGTTGATATCTATGGGAGTCTGATGGGGGCGGTTTCTCGGGTGAGATCTCCTGTTGTGGTGGGAAGTCTGTCTGTTGAGCTCTCATAGACCTGTGTTCCCATTTTAAAAGGTGAAATGTGTGACTGTGTAGACGGGGAGGAGGAAAGTTGCATGACAACATTAAGAATTTTAATGGGAAGCTGGGTGGTGATGGCACATGCCTTTAATCCCAGCACTCGGACAGCGGAGACGGACAGATCTTTGTAAGTTCGAGGCCAGCCTGGTCTACAAGAGCTAGTTCCAGGACAAGCTCCAAAGCTGCAGAGAAACCCTGTCTCAAAAAACAAAATAAATAAACAAACAAACAAACAAATCTTGCTGCACAAAGAAACACTTTATCAAAACACACTCATGAAATAAAAATAAATGCAAAAAAAAATAATTTTAAGGTCAGAAGCAGGCATAGCTCAGTGAGTTCAACACTCATAAAAATAAATAAAATTTAAGGTTTTTCATGATGGATGTTTGTTTGTTTTTGAGACAGGATTTTTCTGTTCAGCCCTGATTGTCATGTAACTCATTCTGCAGACCAGTCTAGCCTCAAACTCAGATCTGCCTGCCTTGCCTCCTAAGTCTTGGGACTGCCGAGCTCATGGTGGTTTTTTTAAAGACACACTGAGGGGCTAGAGAGATAGTCAGTGGTTTAGAGCACTGGGTTTGATTCCCAGCACCACATGGAGGCTCACCCATATATTAGCTCACAGTCCTATCACTGGAGTCTCGGAGTATGTGATGCCCTCTTCTGACCGCCGTGGGCACTGCACTTACCATGCACATACAGTCACATTTGTACACATAGTTTAAAAACTACATAAGTACAGTGAAAAAGCACTATTGGGCTGACTGAAAGTCATAGGTTAAGTGGTTTGTATATTTTTTATCTTAATACCTGTGTTTTGAGGTTTGAAGTGAGAATGGTTGTAATGTGCCAATGATTAAGAAGTACTCAACTCTGCAACATCTTCGGAAAGTGGGAAATGTCAGGACATTTGAGTGAGCCCTGATTGTAAAAGGACATAGAGGATTGCTGTGAGCTGAGCTTGGTTCAGAGCCAGAATCCCAGATACTTGGGAAGCTAAAGCAGAAGAATCATAAATCCAAGATCTACCAAGGGTATGGTCATTTCAGCATCAACCTGAACGACTCAGTAAGAGCCTGTCTCTGAATTCACCAAGAGAAAGGGGTGCATGAGGTCCATTCAGCCCACAGTAACAGAGAGACAGAGGTGGGGGGACAGGGAGAGGGAGAGAGAGACTTTGCTAATAGGAGCTAGGGGTTTGCAGGCAAGATCAAATCTTAAAAAGTGGTTCTCAGACTTTTTTCTATCAGAATTATATATGAAAGCTTGTTAAAAATTCAGATTTAGAGGCAGGCCCGCTGGTCTTTGGGATGCTGAACCAAAGGATTACTAGCTCAAGGCCAGTCTGAGCTACATAAGGAGAATCTCTCAAAAAAACAAAATTTTTAAATTCAGATTTTGAGGGGCTTCCTAGAGTCTGAAATAAACTCTATTGAGAAACATCAAAATTGGAATAAATACATCAAATTTGTTCAGACCTGGAAAGTGGTATCTAAGCTAGGCAGTCCTGGGCCTGGCAGCTCTTCTGTCATAAGTTACTGTTTAAGTTAAGCAGAATATTAAATGTAATACGGATTGTTTGTATTTCTTTTAAATGTATTAGTATACCTCCATTTATTTCTGATAGCTAATTTGTAATTACACTATTTATTAAGTGGGTCTGTTATTTGTGGTTTTCATCAGTATGTTTGAGAATGTTTACATATTTTAATGTTTACAATATATTAATTGTTACATATACTTTGTTACAAAAAGTCAACTCCTTCCATGGTGACAACTCCAGAGTTATAAACATGAAATAAGAATGCTTAGGACCTTTTTATATCACAGGACCTAATTCCTATCTTTAAGCAGCTAAGGTACTGAAATGATTGAATTAAGACATTCATGGAGGATATGTGACTCTTGCTGACGTTTACCCCAGGACTTCAGATTAGACCCTCTAGGAGCAGGTTCTTTGGTTCTGGAGCTCCTTCTCTGCAGTAGATGGCCGCAGGAGTGAGTATCTCGAGCAGGAGATGCCTGAAGTGTATTATTTCCTGGTTGTCTGAATACGAAAGTTCAACATTCCTGTTTCCACATAACTATGGCCTCTCAAGAGTGATTTTATTTTTTAATATTAAGGAAGAAGTGGTAAAGTTGACTGAGAAATGTCTTAATAATGCCATTGAGAGCCCAGGATTGAATGCAGTAAGGGTTCCTCCTGACTTCAAGAGCAATATTTTGAAGGCTCAAGTAGAAGCAGTGCATAAGGTAAGCTTTCTCCAGTAGCTATGGTCCTGATGTGTGCTGGCCAGTTTTAGTAATGACACAGTTACAGTAATGAGAGAGCAGAAACTGAGAAAATGCCTCTAAAGGTTGGGTTGTAGGTAGGCCTGCTGGGCATTTTCTTAATTAGGGATTGGTGGGGTGGACCCGGCTCATTGTGGGTGCTGTCACCCCTGAGCTGGTAGTCCTTTGTCCTATAAGAAGGCAGACTGAGCAGCCATGAAGAACAAGCCAGGAAGCAGCACTCCTCCATGACCCCTGCATCAGCTCCTGCCTCTGGATTTCTGCCCTGCTTGAGTTCCTCTCGTGAATTCCTTCAGTCTTGAGCATCCCTGTGGAAGTGTAAGCCAAATAAACCCTTTCCTTCCCAAGTTGCTTTGCTCATGGTGTTTCATCGCAGCAATAGTGACTCTTAGCTAGGACATGATACCAGACAAACACAAAGTATACATAACAGTTTAGATGATAAATGTAAAATATGAAAGCCTAGGCTTTAGAATCTCATTTCTATTCTGTCCCCTTCCAACTTTGTGTTATGGGGCAAATTAGTTATAAGATAATGATAATGCCTTCCTTAAGATGCTTTGTAAGAAAGAAATAAAGTAATAAATGCAAAGTACAAAGAAACATAACAAACACTAAAAAGTATGGCCCAGTTGAGCATGGTAAATACACAGTACTCAGGAAGCAGAGACAGATATATCTCTTGAGTCCCAGGCCAGCCAGGGTTATATAGTGATACCATGTCTAAAATAAAATAAAATAAAATAAAATGCCCTGATAGTAACAGTCACTGTAACAGCTGATGTGATTAACATATAATCTGAATTTCTTTAATGTTCTTAGGAAAGGGCCAAGGAACTGGTTTGTTCCCCGAGACTGGTTTCTTGACCTTGGACTTCCCAGCCTCTAACAGAGTGGTGTGAATGCTTATTTGCCTGCTCTCTGACTCACGGCCTCTTGGCCTCTTACAGCAGTCTAAATGGACAAAGACAACATGATCTTACATTTCAGTTGTTTCTGATTGAATAAAATGAGAACTAATTTTAATACCTTTAAATTACAAGGATCTTATTTTATAGTGACAACCAGTTTATAAAGAAAATTCTAGGAGCAGATGCCTTCATGGTAAATATCTACCCAATTTTTTATTTTTTATTTATATATTTTGAGAAATAATCTCTCGATTGTGTAGCTCTGGCTGTCCTAGAACTCACTGTGTAGACAAGGCTGGCCTTAAACTCACAGAGTTCTGTCTGCCTCCCAAATGCTGTGGTTAAAGATATGCACCACCATGCCTGGCTTTATACTATATTTTAAAAAGAAGCAATAACAATAATATACAAATTCTTTCAGAAAATAGGACAGGAAGGAGAGTTTCCTGATTTATACTATAAGTGTCTTTCTCATACCAAAACTAGGGAAAAGTATTGTAAGAAAAAGATTCCAGCCGGGCGATGGTGGCGCATGCCTTTAATCCCAGCACTCGGGAGGCAGAGGCAGGCGGATCTCTGTGAGTTCGAGACCAGCCTGGTCTACAGAGCTAGTTCCAGGACAGGCTCCAAAGCCACAGAGAAACCCTGTCTCAAAAACAAAACAAAAATAAAAAAAAAAGAAAAAAAAGAAAAAGATTCCATACTAGTACTCCTCAACTGGAGACAGGCAAGATATTGAACGTGTAATCAAAATCTGATGAACAATGTATAAATACAGTTATACTTTATGATCACACAAGGTGTGTGTCAGGAGAAAATTTGATTTATCATTCAAAACCCATACAGTTTCCCTATTTACAAATATGTACAGTTAGGCCAGGGCTGGTGACACAAGCCTTTAATCCCAGCTCTTGGGAGGCAGAATCACATGGATCTCTGATTTTATAGGGGCTACCCCGTGACCTTTAAATCCAGTACAAACTTACACATTACCTAGTTTGGCTGCCAGCATAGGAGACAGACAGCCTTAGCCCACTCTGAACCACAGTTCTGTGTTCTGACCCTGAAGAAACACTTCTCAGAAGATTTTACCTCAGCGATGCTGGTCTCTTCTTAATCACAGTCAATTTCTCAGTCTCAGTAATGTTGGGTAAAATGGAGCTCTTCAGAAAAACTTCTGGATTTCTTAAAATATTCCTCACAATTAAGAAACCAAATATATAGCTATCCATATTCTTTTTGTCATGTAAATTTGAAAAATGCTGGCATTGAATCTTTGTGAATTTTGTTTGTATTGGGTAAAATTCTATAATGTCTTGAGTAGTTAATGGCTGTGTAGTAAGAAAATGTGCCAAGCATATTCAACATTCTGAACTTTATTATTATTATTATTAGCTATTGACCTGGTTGTTGGATAAAATTATATTAGGTATGGTACTGGTAAGATATAATTACCTCTTATTTGAACTAAAGCAAGTTAATTTTTCTGTTTTTACAGGAAAGAAAGATAAATTTGTTACTTGAATATCTTTTCAATGATTCAGTGTTTATTATTATTATTATTTTATTTTCTTAGGCTTCAAGAGAAGATAGTTTAACTCAAAAAAATGCCAGCATTCAGGATGCTGCCACAAACAGGTACAATCCTGGTGAAAGTGAATTAAGTTGATTTTCTTATTTGTTTTTCCTGCTGCCTCTTGTTTGTCTATCATATTTATTTGAAGGACAGTTGAATTCACTCTTCACTATCAACAGAGAGCCAGCTAGTGTCTAGTTTAGATTGTCTGAAGATATTCTTAGTCGTTCTACATTCTCAATTCTCTTTCATGGATACCAGCTACGGAGCAGAACCCCATGTTTAGTTGGTGTGGCTGTGACTCCTGAGCACCAACACTCTGCCATGAACTGAGCCAATGTCTTGCTTTCCTCCTTCCTTCCCTTCTGCTGCTTTTCTCCTTACTGTGTTGTCGTTTGTTTGTGCTCTTGGCCATTTGTCCCTTGTTCTTCCCTCTTTGATTTTTTTGTTCATCTCTGTATCCAACGAGCTGGTCTTTTGCCTGCTGTCTGTTTTCTTTATCAGTTTCAAGTTAATGGGTAGTGGACAGACTCCTCTTAGCCTCTCTGTTGGACACAGTTACTTTTTTTAACAGACCCACTCAGCTCTTGTTTGTCTGAGAGTATCTTCATTTCTCCCTGTTCTTGAAGGATAGCTCCCTTGGATGTAGGATGAGATGATATTTCTTCCTTTCCTAGTAACACTTCTAAATATGTCACACAATGCTGTCTCATCCTTTTACCTTGAAGTGCTATCTATACTTGATGGTATGTGTATTTCTTTGATCCTATTTTCTAGCCCGATCTGTTAGTGTCATTTGACTTGGGAATTGAGACTATTAATATTGAGAGTTATAAATGAGCAATGTTTATTGATTCCTGTTATTTTATTCGTGGTGTAGATTTCCCACTTATTTTGATGTACTATTCTGGGATTATTTATTCCTTGTGTCTTCTTGGGTGAGGTTAACCTCTTCAGACTGAATGTTTCCTTCTAGTGCCTTCCATAGAGCTTGATTTTTAGCTAAATATTGCTTAAATTTGCTTTTATTGTGGAATGTTTTTCTTTCCCAGTCACTTGCGATTGATAGTTTTGCTGGTTATAATAGTCTGAACTGGCATGTGTGGTCTCTTAGAGTTTGTAGTGAGAGACTCTCTGAGAGAGGTGTCTGTGGAAGAGTCCTCCACCCAAGAACCAGAACCAATCCACTGGATGCAAAAGCACGAGGCAGTTTATTAAATATACACAGGCGCCTGTGGATGCTGCAGCAACTAAGTTACAATTAAGTTACTGAGCATGCCAGGCTGATGGCACGTCATGTATTTATAAGGATTTAGGAGTTACATAAGAGGCTTGTCTAGCAACAGCATTTCATTGGTTCTCAAATTGGTGGGCTTAGCTCACCTTGGGGACGGCCCCGTGTCTATTCCTGAATTTCGCCAAAAAAAAAAAAAAAAAAAAAACAACAACCATAAAGCCAGATAAAACACCCTGTAGCAGGTTGACAATTTAGATAGGATGTCTTGGAGGGGGTGGAGTAGCCCCGAAAAACCACAAAGCTAGATAGAGCACTCTGCAGCAAGTTTGACAGTTTAGATAGACTGCCTTGGGGGGTGGAGGATTCCCTCTTCTTAACCTAGTCAGTGAGTCTGCAATCCATAGATATCCAGTTTTAGCATCGGCTGAGCTGAGGTGCCCAGCTGAATTTCAGCAAAGTTTAAGATAGTACATGGGCATGGGGGTCTTTCAGTAGAATGTTCATCTAGGTCCTCTGGCTTTCAGATTCTCCATTGAGAAGTCAGGTGTTATTCTAATGGGTCCACCTTTATATGTTACTTGGTCTTTTTCCCTGCAGCTTTTCATATACTTTTTTTGTTCTATGTGTTTAATATCCTGGCAATTTTGTACCATTGGGATTTCCTTCCTGGGCTTGTTTATTTGGTGTTCTTTATGTCTCATATACCTTGATAGGCACTTTCTTCTTTAGGTTGGGGACATTTTCTTCTATGATTTTCACTGTGACTTGGACCTGGGTTTCTTCTCCTCCCCACTTCCCCTTCTCCCCACTCTCCCCCCCCCCACTATCCCTCTTATTTGTAGATTTTCATACTGTCCCAGTTTTCCTTGATTTGTGCCTGGATTTTGTTTTTGCTTTTAACTTTTTCTTTTATTAAGTTATCCATTTCTTCTACCTTGCCTTCAACACCTGAGATTCTCCTTTCCATGTCTCATACTTCGTTAGTAAGGCTTGTCTCTGAAGTTTTTGTTTGCCATCCTAAATTTTTCATTTCCAAATTTTTTCAGTTTGATTTTTCTTTAGTGATTCTATTTCTACTTTCATGTCTTGAACTGTTTTCTTCATTTTGTTACTCTGTTTCTTTGTGTTTTCATGGACTTAATAGATTTATTCACATTTTCTTTAAGTTCCTTGAACATAGTCATACTTGCTATTATGAAGTCCTTGTCTGTGCTTCAGCTATATTGCATTTTTCAGGGGGTACTTAGTAAAGTCACTAGGTTTTGGGGGAGGCTTATTGTCTTGGCTATTCATGTTTGTTTTGCATTGAGGTCTCGGCATCTGAATTATGATTGTGATGTTCATAGTTTTGATATCTGGTCTTGTCTTTGGGTAGGTGATCCATTCTTTGTTTGCTGTTGCCCTCTGTGGTACCTCTGAGTTCCCTGGTAGAAAGTTTTGCCTGTCAGTGATTGGTGGAGAGAAATAGAGATGAGCTAGGAGAAATGGCTGAGCGGGGCTATGGAGGTAGGGGTGTTGCTGGACCCTAATGTCTTCCTGGGGGGAGGGGGTGAGAAGGCACACTGTTAATGTCTCAAACATCGGGAGGCAGGTAGAAGGCATAGAGTAGAGTCATTTATTTAACAATGGGGAAAAACTTGTGTATAATCTCCCAGCTCCCAGGCGCTCTAATCCATTGACATCCTGTAGTTGCCCCTCATTGGCTAGGCACGATCAGGACCTCTGAGAGCTCCAGGTTGGCCCCTCTCAGCCCGGTAGGCCTTAACTTCCTACATCTCCACCCTTTTATTTGTTACATGGGTGTTCAGTGGGAGCCAGAGTTCTTTGCTCAGGCCTTGTTGACCCCACCTGAGGAGGGCTCAGCAACTGGACTGTGCCTGTCTTAGGTTGACCTGCTGAACAAGCTCTTACCTGTCATTGACTGCCAGCCCTCAAAGAGCATTCATTCCTGGAGACCTGCCAGGGTGGGGGAACTAGGCAGTAGCTTTTTGAATTACAGATAACCTGGCATTCATAACCTCCTGCAGAGGACTACAAAAAGAATGCCTAAGAGCCAGTAACACCTGAAGAGTCACCTTAGTTGCTGTCTGCTGATGTTGGATCTGCTACAGGAGATATTTAAAGAGAATAAGGATTAACAATACCACCCTGTTAGTTAATGCATATGTGAACATCCAGGAGGGATCAAATAGCCTTTTTATATTATGCTAAACCTTTTCAAAAAATGAATAGTCAAAGGCTATAACTTCTTCCCTAAATAAATCATCTTGGGGGGGGGGGGCAACGAGAGCAAGAATGGGAAGTATATACATTACCCATCCTGGGTTATTCTCTGTGATGGAAGCAGGCTGATCCATGGTCAGGTGCACATCTCTTACCAGAACTCTTATTGGCGTCATGGCAGTCTGAGGAAAAACACAAGCCTATTCTCTCCCAAGGGTTAGCAGGGGGGCTGGTGGCTGCTGTTGGAGGTCATGGGATCTCTCCATCTCAGCAGGGGCAAGAGTGTGTTCCTTCGCAGAGATGTCAAATGCTTGTAAGCTGGGCTGAGCCCTTTGTCATCAAAACTGAGAAAGTTCATGTAGAAAAGGACCTCTGTAAGGCCAGATGAGGATCTCTCCTAGCCTCTGGCGAGGTAGTCCTGGCCAACAGCTCCTTAAGATCTCTTTAAGCTCACTGAGTCTTCTGTGAACCTTACTAAATCTGCTGTTGAAATCCTGTGGCAGATTTTTTGTTAAAAAGTCCTACTTTCAGGGCTGGAGAGATGGCTCAGAGATTAAGAGCATTGCCTAGGTCTGAGTTCAATTCCCAGCAACCACATGGTAGCTCACAACCGTTTGTAATGGGATCTGGTGCCCTCTTCTGGCCTGCAGGCATACACACAGACAGACTATTGTATACATAATAAATAAATAAATAAATAAATAAATAAATAAATAAATAAATAAATATCCTACTTTCTAGCTGTAAATCATCCAGATAGCCCTTCCTCTGCCTGTTGTAGGTGTCCTAATCTCCTGTAGTTCTTGCTTTCTCTAGATTTGACCCAGTTGCACCCTTTGCCCAGTAAGTGCAGTTGTCTGTGCTTTCTGGGGAAGCGTCTGCTCCAGTCTTCCTTGTGGATGAGCCACACTCTGGTGAATTTTGATCTTGATGATGTAATTCTCGGCAGCAGAGTCTTCTCTCTTTTAAGCTTTCTTGGTTGTGCTTGCTGTGTGATTATATGATAGCTGGAGCCTGTTCAAAGTGACATTTGGAGACTCCTTTGTGAGCTGCAGCCTCTGATGCCTGCTGCCCTAGTGTAGAACTCAGTAGTGATTTGACAGAGATGTCATATGACCAGAACCAAAAACTGTACTTTCAAGAGACCCAGCACTCTCTTCTGGCCTGGGTGAGCATCAAGCACATATATGATGTTTGTACATATATACAGGCAAAATACTAATACACATAAAATAAAAATTATTAAATCTTTAGGGGCCAGGGAGATGACTCAGTGGGCAGAGGCGCTTGTTGCCAAGCCTGACAACATGAGTTTAATCTCTGGGCCCGTGTGGTAGAAGGAGAGAACTGACTCCCACGAATTATCCTCTGTCCTCCACACACGCACCTGCACCTTGGCACCACAGTGCCTATACAGATACATAGGTTAAAAATGTAAACTAATATAATAAAATGTTTCTGGGTTTTGTTTTTTGTTTTGTTTTGTTTCTTTGTTTTTCAAGACAGGGTTTCTCTGTGTGACAGCTCTGGATGTCCTGGAACTAACTCTTGTAGACCAGGCTGGCCTTGAACTCACAGAGATCTGCCTGTCTTTTCCTCCCAAGTGCTGGGATTAAAGACATGTGCCACCACTGCCTGGCAATAATAAAAAAAAATTTTAATAGAGGAAAATGCTCTCAAAAAGTCTTTCTGGTTGGCCATGTGTTAGGATGGTTTGCAGAACGTAGACGACTGCAGGGCCCGGCTTGGTGGTGGTGTTGCCTCACATGCTCGGGACCCATTTATTCAATGAGGCCCTTAGTGTCTGTGCTGCTGGGGTTATACGTAGGAAGTGGTCTCCTGTGCCCACGTGTTGTAGAGTATTTCCCACTTTCTCTTCAATCAGGTTCAGTGTGTTTGGACTGATATTGAGGTCTTTAATCCACTTGGACTTGAGTTTTGTGCATGGTGATAGAGTAACTCTTATTTCTTATATTTATTTCTTTGTCTCTGTTTACCCCAGACTGTGAGTATAACAGAAGTTGCTTCCATTCATGGATGGTTGTGTCTCGCATTTTGTGGTTGAGGTCTCTATGGGGCACGTGAGGGCAGATGCTGATGACTCCACGCTTTGCAGTGATAGTGAGGATGTGGTGATGACTTGACAGATAGTCAGCTGTGGCCTTTCCTTTGCTCTGCTGGCACTGAAGCCATGTCTAGAGCATTCTTGTTACTCTCATCAGAAGATAACCCCTGTCATATGCCAGGTGTAGCATGATTCCTAATTGTTCTTATTAATAAAAACCCAGAGTCAGATATCAGTGGGTGAAAACTGAGAGATCAGAGAAGCAGTGCAGCCAGCCACTAGGACGACCCTTTACCTCTGCCTCAGACCAAAAGGTGATCTGTCCTCAGAGTGCACTTCAGCCTGCATCCTCAGACTGTGTCCTCCGGCTGCACTGAGCTCCTGCTTCCTCCTGCTTTATATCACCCCCGACTCCCCCTCCCTAGTGCTGGGACAAAGGCCTGTCGTCCCACGTGTTGGGATCGCCTTTGTGTGAGCTCTGTTTCTCTTTTAGACTGGATCAATTTCAAGTTGCCTAGGGTGGCCTTGAAGTAACAGAGATCTGTCTGCCTCTTTTTTCCGAGTTCCGATTAAAGGTGTGTGCCACCACTGCCTGGCCTCTAGTAGCTCTGCGCTCTGATCTTCAGGCAAGCTATATTTGCTAAACAAAATATCATCACTGCTAGGTCTGCAGATTACAGATATTCCACATCCTCTCGTCTGTTACGGTATCTGGAGCATCCTGGATGTTGCTTCTCCCTTATGCTACAGCTCTCCAGCCTGTACCCTCAGCATGGTTCCCCTGGTTCCTCACTCTGCTCTTCTGTCTTGGCTATGTGTGTGTTTGTGTACTAAAGGCAAATGTTTCCTCATTTAGTGTGGTTTGGGGAAGGAAGCAAGCTAGTGAGCTGTTTAGATCACTCTGACTAGGATAACAAATCTGAAGGTTTTCCTCCAACTGCCCTGTCTTACTCCTCTCCATGGCCTTATTAACCCTCCCGAAGGATTCTCCAACAGTGCCAGCTGTGTACACATCCTCCCTGATCTAATTCTGTTTCCTCCCAGCACTGTAAATGAGGATGTGCCCTCGTGCAGAGACTCTCCCACTCCGACACATGCCACAGCTGCAGACAGTGGGTCTGCAATCAAGGTAAGAAGATTGCTTTTCATTTTCAAGAGACAGTAGTGAGTTTAACCTCTCATGTGACCAGGGACATCTGGCCATTTCTCAGTGGCCTTGGGGCTTGAGGTGGGAGGAGCAGCTGAGCCTTCTCCCTAGGGAAGACCCTGGGGCTGCCCTGCCTGCCTACTACCGAAGAGTAGACGCTTCTCTCCAGTGTCTGTGCTGCTGGGGGCTTTATTTTGAGACAGTCTTGGGTGCTGGCCGTGCTTTCACTTTTTTCGTCTCTAAGACACTGTTCTCTCCAAGTGGACATGTTAGACGCTGTCCAGCACACCTGTGATTTTGCTGAAATTCACTGTATGATTTTCCTAGGAAAACAAGCTGTGTGAGTGGGCTGAGTCCTGTTTTGTTTTGTTGAATCACAACCTTGCTGTGTAGCCCAGGTTGGCCTTGGTGCTCAGTCCTCTGCTTCCCTTTGCCCATGCTAGGATCACAGCAGTGCACCAACATTCCTGGGTAACCTGTTCTGTTCATTGCTGTATTCCTAATGTCTCAAACAGCAGATGACAAGTAATAGGAACTGATTATAAAATGTGGCCAACAGCAGGCGTGTCTCACTGGTTGTATTACAGGACCACCAGCTCACTCCAGTTTCCCCCCTTATATGTCCACACCCTAACCAGTGCAGAACTCACAGAAACCTAGACTTTCTAATTTAACACAAGCAATTTCGCCATTTTTGTTGCATAACGTATATTAGTTGTAGAAATTTACCAGATACTTCACAAAAGGGAAAACTATAAATCACCCTTAATCCTAGTATGCAAAGGTAGTACATAGTTAATATTTATGTATAGTATATTTCAGTTAGGGCTTATTTTAGTCTGGGTTTATATTGCTGTGATAAAACAGTATGATCAAAAGCACCTTGGGGAGGATTTAGCTTACATTTCCACATCATAATCCATCACTGAGGGCAGTTGGGGCAGGAACTGACACAGAAGCCATGGAGGAGTGCTGCTTACTGACTTGCTCCTCACGGCTTTCTTACAGAACCCAGGACCACAAGCCAGGGTTGGCACCACCCACAGTGAGCTGAGCCTTCCAGTTTGGCCATATCTGTTAAGATTTTTTTAATATTAAACCAAAACCAAATACATATATTTATACTTTTTATCAACTTAAAAAATAATTGTTTCATTTATGAAAGATTGTGCCATTATAGCCAATAGCTTCATCTAGAATTGAACAAATAGCACTTTGGTAAACACCAGTTTGTTTAGTAGATGCCCCAAACCATACCAAAAGTATAGCTTCCCTTGAGCTCTCTCTTGCCAACCAGTCCTGCCATTGGAACACTTAACCTTCCTTCATGATCACATTCTTCTACTGCATGGGCATTGGCTCTCTGCCCTTCCATATTGAGCACCGCCACCACTCGAATGTTCTTTCCCTTCTCATCGTCGAAGAATTCAGCTGGGACACCATGACTGTCCTATCCAAAACTGTCAGCCGGCCACAAACCAGTCTCTGGCTTAACTCTTCCAGGTTTTTCTGTGTAAATGGAGTAGCTATGTGAGTATTTACAGAGCACTCTTTTCCTGGTTCTGATTATAGTATAGATTCTCCTCCTCAAAGTGGAATCGTTGGTAGCTCATTTCTAAATGTCCTTTTCTGCTTAGAAGGTCCACACTAGCTGGGCCCAAGTCACTGTTAGAAATTCAGAGACTGGGGCTGGAGAGATGGCTCAGCGGTTAAGAGCACTGCCTGCTCTTCCAAAGGTCCTGAGTTCAATTCCCAGCAACTACATGGTGGCTCACAACCATCTGGAATGAGGTCTGGTGCCCTCTTCTGGCCTGCAGGCATACACACAGACAGAATATTGTATACATAATAAATAAATAAATATTTAAAAATAAAAATATTTAAAAAAAAAAAAAGAAATTCAGAGACTGTGGGAAAGTGCAGTGCAATGCCAGATTGTTCATGGATTCTTGCCATGTCTTCTGCAGGATGCGACAGATGAATTGGATGCCTTACTTCTTTCTCTAACTGAGAATTTGATGGACCACACAGTCACACCTCAGGTAAATATGCCTCAAAACAGCAAGGCAGACTTGTTTTGAAAATGTTCCTGCTAGGTTCCATTTCTTTTCTAGTTTAATAATTTAGTAAAACTTTTCATTTAATAAGAGTTATGGGACTGAGAAAATGGCTCACTGGGTAAAACACTTGCTGCACAATCATGAGAACCTCAATTGGGATCCCCAAAACTCAGATAAAGCTGGACACAGTAGTTCACATGAAACAAGGCAGAAATAGAATTTCCAGAAACTCTCAGACCTGGTAGCCAGGTGTTCACAGCGAAGCACAGGAAACCCTCGGACAGACAGACTGGCACCTAAGACCCGCACGTGTGCAGCGGGTGTGTGCACACCCACACAAGCACAAAGAGCTTGGATTTGCTTCTTTAGCTTTGCCTTGCTGTCCTCAGGTTCTGCTTTGAATTGCATTTCAGCCTGTGGAAAGCACATGTCACCATGAGCCCATTCATAATTCAACGCCTCATTAAATAACATGAAAGAAAACTTGGGGCCTGCACCAGCTTGCAGAGTTAAGACATGGAGCTCTGTGGTCTAGAGCTCTTACTGTTTCTTGCAGAGGACCTGGGTTCTGTTCCTGGCACCCATGGAGTGGCTCACAGCACCAGTTAACTCAGGTTCCCGAGGATCCATTGCCCTTTTCTGATCTCAGCATTCACTGAACACTTGTAATGCCCTCATATGCATATAGGCAAAGCACTTAGACACATAAAATAAAAATTAAAAAAATTCAAGAGTGAAGATAATAATCTGGGCTTGGTGGTTTATGCCTGCAGCCCCAGCATTGAGGAAAGTTGCTGCAAACCCAAAGCCAGCTGATGCACAGAGCAAGTTCCAGGCTAGCCAGGGCTATAGCAAAAGCCTGTCTAAAACATATGTTAAAACTATAAGGACATGTTTATTTATTTTATTTTATTTACAAAAAAAGTAGGGTCACAATTAATGAGTAGTATTGAAAAATCTCAGCCCTGTCTAACCTGGAAGGCAGCGTCCTCAGTACCATTGCCATGAGCAGATAAGGCACAAAGTTCATTTCCTCAGCTGGACTGAAGTGTAAAGACACAGAACTACTTCAGTGCTAGTTACTGTAAGCAAGAGCTGCTTGTGGAGATCAGATGCCTCTCAGGAGTCAGGAGGCACAGATGGCACTTTCTGTTGGTTGTGTAAATCATTAGTGGACAAACTTGAGTGTGTGTGTCAGAATTAGCCAGAAGGTGTACTGAACACATTGTTGGGCCTCATCTCAATTTCAAATTATATATAGGTATATCTTGGAAAGACCCCAAAATGTGCATTTCTAAACATGCTCCCATGTGATATTTGGTGATACAGACTACCAGCTTATATCAATAAATAAGATGTTACCAAAAGAGAAGAAATAATCCCAAATCTGATTTGAACTATAATAAATCTTGAAAGAGACGAGAGATAGCCTCCAAAATTAATGCCAAAAAATAACCTGAAGCCCAGAGAGATATAATTCCTAAGAGCATAATTGACAACACTTACAGTATGTTTGTTCTTTGTCTAGTGGGTAGGTGAGCTACCCAAAACCACAACCGTAGTGTGGCAGAGTGGCCCACACAGAGGCAGGAGGATCTACTACTTCCTCCTAGACTCCAGGCTTCTGCACACATGAATACAAAAAGTCACTGGGACACACACATAAATAAATTAATTAAACAGACCAAAATAGATGCTGACTTAGGTCAGCAGTACTCTCAAGCTTGCCTTGGTTCTTATTTAATGTTTTGTCTAGATTACAGCTCCTGCTCTTGGGCCTTTCCAGGGATCAAGATAGAGTCCATGCAGAGTTTGCCCTGGGTTCACTCCCTGTAGCCTAGACTGACCTAGGAGTAACCCGGGAACTAGAAAGTTCCTGCTTTCACCTCCCTAGTGTTGCCATTACAGGTGTGAGTCTCCACCACGCCTGAATTGTCTGACTTTTACACTTCTGGCATTTGTTTATGGATCGTGTGTTCGTGTACTGTGGGTGCACATGCAGCACCACTGTGAGGTGAGGTCAGAGAACAACTTGCTGGAGTTAATCTTCCCTTAGATCACGTGTGTCCCAGGTGTCCACCGCAGGTGGTCAGGCCCATGCGAGAGTGCCTTTATGCCGTGAGCTATCTCACCCTTGTCTGGCTCTCTAATTTTGTCTAATGAGTTTGTCTCAGAGTTTCAATTGTATGAGTTAAATTGGCTATCACCCCCAGTATTGTGATACTATTTAGGGTTCCTCTTGTGTAAAGAACCTCTGGTAGTGTTTTCCTGCTTTAGCTGGTTCTCTTCCATACTCACTTCAAGTGCTGTAGTTTAGACATCAGTTTGAATTTGTCCACCCCATTGGACATTCTACACAGAGTAGAAATAGCCTCCATGCTTCTAAGCAAAGCCAGTCTAGCAAGGCCCTTGACCTATCTCAAGAAGCCAGAGTCTCCTCCTGTCTTTCCATAATTTACAGATCAGTTTACTGTTTTACTCTCAGATCTTCAGGCAGTCTTTGTTTATTAAAATACAATTTTAATGCCACTTCCTCCTCCCAAAGCCCATGACCTCTGAGGACCAGACCCTCAACTGGCCTTAACAGGTTTGTTTGTTTGTTTGTTTGTTTAAAAAACATAGTGATTAAATTTGGCCACTGCATGGTCTTAAGCACCAGTGTGAAAATATAACCAAAATTAAAATATTGATAATATAAAACAAACAAACAATGGGCTCACTTTGCGTATGAGTGACTGACATGCAAAGTGGAGCAGTCACAGCCGTCCCAGACGTAATCAAACTTAAAGGATTGTCATCCTCTCCCTGCTGCTCTTTGTATACCCTGATCATTCTACTCCCGTCTCCACTTACAAAGTCAGTAAAATCAGATTAAGCCCACAGCAAACATCACCATCCCCTTGGTGAACAGTTGTGCACCTAGATCTCTGGACCTGGGTAAGCATAGGTTAGAACTGTTAGGGTCTTGATAGTGATGCTACTGATCTCAGGACCTTGTGCCTCCAGTGCTGTTGGCGGAAGGCCACTTGTTTGTTTCCCGGCCACTCAGACCTGAAATAACCACTTGGAAACTATATTAATTACAACACTGCTTGGCCTATTAGCTTTGGCTTCTTATTGGCTAGCTCTTACACCTTAAATCAACCCATTTCCATTATTTTATATTTTACCATGAGGCTCATCACCTACAGGCAAGGTTCTGGCTGGCAGCTCCTGTCTTTCTCCTCTGGTAGCTACATGGTGTCTCTCTGATTCTGCCTTCTTTCTGCCAGCATTCAGTTTAGTTTTCCTGCCTAGTTCTATTCTGCCCTATCACAGGCCAAAGCAGCTTCTTTATTCATTAACCAATAAAAGCAACACGTATACAGAAGGACTTCCCACACCACAACGCCGTCTTAATCCTCCACTCATTTACACTTGAGCCATGTTCAGGTGCTCCTGTGCTAACCTAACTCCAGTACCTGGAAGTCAGCAAGAGTGGAGACCATATATCCTTCTGATGCCCCAGTGTCTGCTGGCAGCTGCTATTCTGTATGTATGTGTGTGTACGTACACTCACACACAAATAAATAAATATAATTTAAAAGATTTTTAAGAATAATAAATGAGCCAGGTAGTAGTGGTGCACGCCTTTAATCCCAGCACTCAGGAGGCAGAGGCAGGCAGATCTCTGAGTTCAGTGATAGCCTGGTCTACAGAGCCCGTTCCAGGACAACTAAGACTACACAAAGAAACCCTGTCTTTAAAAAAAAATGTAATAAATGAATTAACAATAGCAATAGTGTTCTTAACTTATAATCTTCCCTGTTATGGAGATTCTCAAAGTCCTAAGCCGGGGCCTAAAAGTTATGTCAGCTCAGGAGTCTCCATGGAAACTGCATCCCCTGTGGAGCATTTCACAGTAGAAAATATTGTGAGTGTAATTCTGAAATAAGTCAGTCTTCCCTAAAAGTAAGTGGCTATGAAATTTGTTTTAGGTGTCTTCGTCATCCATGATCACACCCCGGTGGATTATTCCAGTAAGTCCATACTATTCAATTCTTTTGGTTGCAGTCTCAGAAGCTTAAAGGAATCTCACATTCTTGTTTTTCCTACAAATATTGGGGTCATTATCAAAGCTCTGTTAATTTAATAGCTTCAGATTTGTGGCTCAACTTTTCTGTAAATGCTAAATGATTCAGACAGATAAATAAAAATCTGAGGTGAAAGGGGCTGGAGAGATGACTCAGTGGTTAAGAGTACTTACTTTTTTTGCAGAGGGCCTAGGTTTGGTTCTCAGCACCCACATGGCAGCTAGCTCATAACTATCTGTAACTCCAGTTCCAGGGGATCTGACTCCACAGACACCAGGCACATGTGTGGTACACAGACATGCATGCAAGTAAAGCATTCGTACACATATTAAAATAAATAAGCAGCTTGGGGGCTGGCAAGATGACTCAGTGGGTAAACAGCCAGGAGCATCAGGCCCTCCTCTTTGCTCCCTGGTCAGCGGTCAGCGAGGCTGATGGGAGATGCTGGGGAGTGAGTGCTGTTGCCTCAGTGCTGACGCGAGCGTCTCCTACTACAGAGTGCTGCCGTCTCCAACAGGCTCACAGGGTGTGGACCGTCTGTGGCCGGGACCGAAGGGTGTGGTCCTAAAGAAGGATTCTCACTCATCTCCCCCCCAGCACCGTTCTTGGTAGATGCTGTGACCAGGTAAGGAAATTACTATTCATCTGCAGCTTTTTCTGATAGGAGAGAAATGATAAGAAATGTTGATTATATTTAAAATAACAATGTTAGTTTTTGTAAGGTCCTAATTGAATTTGATTGAAAGTGTATAGGTCTTTGAATATTGTTTAACATAGTATTTTTTCTTGCATGTTGATAATTTTCAAAAAAAAAATTGCTGGGATTTCTTTGTGAAGAAAATGTTAGTAGACTTGAGATCTCTGTTTTAAAAACCAGGTTGTTCTTTATCCTTTCTTCTTTACTCTTACGACTGTGGCCTGCTCTCATTACTACATATGACACAGGGCAGTATGAAGTAGGGGTAGGGTGTCCCCAAGGTGAGAACCCTCATAGCTTTTACTAGATAGGCATGTGAACATGGGTCCCGGAGGCTATCTGAACGTCCCCTCTCTGCAGAGGATAAGCTAAGCCAAGGTCAGACAAAAGCAAAATGTGCTGCTCTTGTGCTCAGCACAGCACTGTTCTTACTATCCATGATAAGCTTGGCCGGTGAAGAAAGGGTTAAATATAGTTTAGCCCGTAGTCAGGGAGCCAGGAGCCTTCACTATGTCTGTCCCTTCCATGCAGCTCGGCTCCTCTGGCTGAAGACCCAGTCTTGAAGCAGAAGTGCTTGCTGACCACTGAGCTCTGAGGGCTGCTGCTCCCACTGGATCTGGAATGCCCCACACTATCCTGTCAGCCCTGGATCCAGCCCAGTGAGTCCTTTACTTGGAGAAAACCTTCTACCTGGATTTGACTTCAACTCCATGAAGAAAGCTACATTTTCCGTCCGACTGGAAGTCTACCCCACATAACTGAAGATAACCTCCTCTTCTTCCAATCAATTCCCCATCATCTAAATTCATTAGTTCCCGGCAAACTCTTGGCTCCACCTAGCGGTCCCTACTGTTTATGGCAGCCTGTGGCAAGGCTTGCTGCCCAGAGCCTTTTCACTGCCGTTCCAGTGATGTCAGGGTGAGCACACCTGACCCGAAAGCCTGCTGGAGAAACGAGTGGCGTTTCCCTGCACTGTCCCTGAAGTGGGAACTTAGGAAGAGATGGAAACACTGTAGGTGGATCCCAGACCAGCTCTCACAGTCGCAGGACTCTAGGGACGCTGAGAGATGGAGGCTTTATGTCAGCCACACTCTGCGGCCTGAGCAGTAACCATCTTACTGCTCTTAGGAACTACGGAGTGATTGTCTCCAGCCTTGTGCTCCCCAGACCCCTTTCCTAGAGGAAGGATCCACATCACTCCCGTCTGTAGCTTTGGTGTTTGGTCAGAGACCTGAGTACTCCACCTGCGGCCTGTGCTGTCCATGCAACCCTAATTGGCTTACAGCTGTGAAGGTCAGCACAGCAGCGCTCCAAACCAGGACCTGTTTAGACACAGCCTCCGGTTCCTTTCCGCGTAAGCTGAGTGAAAAGAAAAGGGAAACACCGGGCAGAGATGGAGAATGGTGGCGAGAGGGACCGGGTTCTTGAAGACTCCACTAGGAAGCTGTGCACAGTGTAGTGAATGAAGGCAGCCCACATTAGGGTTTTGTATCCGCTTTAAAGTTCTCTAGAATCCCATATTCTCTGTACCCAAAGAAGTTCTGGTGTTGAAGTGGTACGTGCTCACCGTGGAAAAGTGTATGGGTATGGACCTGAGCCAGCACAGGGAATGACACTACAGTAGCTCATGTGTGGGCTGGAAGATGAGGACCTCAGCTGCCGTGGGGACTGGGGAAGCCACTGGTGTTGCCCTCTCACCAAGCACCGATGTTATCTGGTTTCTGCCTGTCATGTGATGTGTGTATGGTTGAGCACTCATTCTTCTCAGCTAAGAGAACATCCAGCTCTGTGGTTCAGATGCTGTGATCTGGACTACCCTGGCTTCCCCATTGTGTATTATGTGTTCAGGCAGATGCTAGTGTCTAACTGGGAAGCTTGGGGATTCGGCCTTACACTTTCAAGAGGAGCTGGACAGTTAGAAAGCACCTTTCCGAAAGGAGACAGAACTGCCCTTCTTGCTGGCTGGCTCCCCTTAGCCAGTAGGCGGCTCGTGCATTTCCCTGGCAGTGTTTTGCCAGTCCACAATATTAAGACATTCCTCACAGTGTGGGACCTAGAACCCGGGGCTTGCTCCAGGACACTGGGCTGGGTCCTGAGCGGCCTACATAGTCTGCTGTGCTGCTAACCACACAATGGCTAAGGCATGATGGCTTAGAAGTCCTACGTGTCTCATCCTGTGTAGGATTGAGCACTGTCCTTTCAAGACAGAGTAGCTGATAGTACCCCATAACATCTGTGTCTCCAGGTACCTGAATTCTTCAGAGTATTACTAGGGACTTTGTTAGGGATCACTTGGATCTCCAGTGAAAAGAAATCCTCTGTCCTAGTGTCGAGTCTTAAGTTAGAACTAACGCTTGAGTGATGCATTTGCCCTGACAGATCAGACACACGTCAGACTTGTCAGAGGGTGTTCTGCCCCTCTGAAAGTGCAGCGGTCTATCACGACAGACCCGGGGGCACCTGGAAGTGGTAGGTGGGAGTATGTGAAGCTGTCAAGAATGGGTAGAGTGAGGCGGAGGTGACAGCTGGGTAGGAAGGGGCATCTGCCAGTGCTGTGTCTTTATGTCACACTGGAGCTAGTGCCCAGAAGCTGCCCTTCTGTTCCCAGGGAGCAGCCAGACAAAGTGCCTGGGGTCAGTAAGATGTGAAGTTACAGTTAGCAGTCCTAGACTCCACCTCAGCGCTGGAAAGGAGTCTGTCTGTCCGTGTGAATATGTAAATGATCTGGAGACCAGCAGCCCTCTCTACACGGGCGGCACTCCCGGCTGTCTCTCCTGATCCTCAGGAGGCTGCTGGATAGAGCCAGGAGCAGACTCCTTAGCGTCTTACATTGCTTTGAGAAAAATTCTTGTGGAAACATTCTTTCCGTGTCCTGCTGACGGACGGTGGGCACTTCCTTTGCACAGGCTCAGGCGCCCTGGGTGTGTCTGCGGATGAGACCTCTGAGCTGTTTCTAGGATCTACTGCTTGCTCTTCCTCCATTTCTGGCTAAAACTTGGACCTCTCTTCTCTTAACTGAGTCCCAGGAAGTCTTGCTGTCGTTTGCAAGATTGTGTAGTCGCTCAACTGGTGAAAAACTTGGAGTTTTTTGTTTGTTTTATGCTTTGGGTGTTTTTTGTTTTATGGGTTTTGTGTGTGTGTGTGTGTGTGTGTGTGTGTGTGTGTGTGTGTGTGTGTGTGTTGACAGGGTTTCTCTGTGTAGCTCTGGCTGTCTGAACCCCCTCCATAGACCAGGCTAGTCTGAAACTCAGAGATCTGCCTGCCTCAGCCTCCCAAATGCTGGGCTTAAGGGGATGCTCCACCACCTCCCAGCAACTTGGCTGTTTTCTAAGTAAGGGTTTTAAGGAACAAAATCCTTGTCTTCTCATTTAGCAAGTATCATTTCCTCATTTGTTGTTTTACTTTGTTCTGCTGTTTTGAGACAGAGTCTCAGTGTGTAGCCCAGGGTGGTCTTGAACTCACAGGAGTTCTCCTGTCTCACTTTCCAAGTACAGGAATTTCAGTCATGAACCGCCAGACCTAGTGTATGTTGTACTGACAAGGTTTTGGTTGGTTGGGTTTGGGTTTTGAGTTGCTAGGGACCAGAACCAGGACCTTGGACTGATAGTGGCAGCACCTGCCTATAACCCCAGCACTCAGCAGGCAGAGGCGGGTGGATCTCTGCGAGCTGCAGGCAGAGGCGGGTGGATCTCTGCGAGCTGCAGGCAGAGGCGGGTGGATCTCTGTGAGCTGCATGCAGGCAGACCAATGCCTGAGGCCCTTGTCTCACTCTGCCCTGAGCCGTCTCCAGATCCAGAGCTGGAGACCACAAACAGTTCACCACTGTGCTGCTGCTGCTGCCCAGCACCGCCAAGGCCAGTGCCCGGGAGCATAGCTGTGCCCACTAAAGCTTGTTTATAACCAAGCTCCAAGCCAGTGCTTCTCAACCTGTGGGTCACCACCCCTTTGGGGGCCACATATCCGATATCCTACATATAAGATACTGACATTGTGATTCATAACAGTAGCAAACTTACAGTTATGAAGTAGCAACTAAATAATTTTGTAGCTGGGGTCACTGTAACAGGAAGGGTCACAGCATTAGGAAGGTTGGGAACCGCCGCAAGTGCTGCTCCCCGGCTCTGAGAGCAGTGGAGTTGCTGCTTGTTCATGAAGCTGCAGGGTGAGACCAGGTCTCAGCCGCGAGAGTCTCGGTGGGATCCTGTTAATCCATCTCTTGGCCATGGAGTTGACTGAACTCAGATACACCTGTGTAATAAAGAATGCATGTTTATAGATCATTTGTACTTTTTACTGAAAAAAAAAATACCTGAGTTTGTGGGCAGTCAGGATGGACTTTCTGGAAACATCCTTGTGCTGCCAGGATGGGGGAGCTCGGTTTGCGCTAGGGGAACTTGTCCTGAGCTGAGTTCTGCTGTGGTTCAGAGTTCTTGCTGGAGACTTGCTGGTAGGGCTGCAGTCCTTCCTCTCATTGCATTGTGGGGGGTGATACCCGCTAATTCTCAGGATTTCTTATCAGAGGAGTGTGTGTGAGAGAGTCTGTGTGAGTGTGTGTGTGTCTGTGTATGTATGTGAGTGTGTGAGGGAGTCTGTGTTGTGAGTCTGTATGTATGTGAGTGTGTGTGTTTGAGAGAGTCTGTGTTTTGTGTGTGTGTGTGAGTCTATGTATGTGAGTGTGTGTGTGAGAGTCTGTGTGTGAGAGTGTATGAGTGTGTATGTGAGTGTGTCTTTTCATGGAGCCCTTTGCTCTCCTGGTTTTCACATCTGGATACAGTAGATGGTTATGAGAACTCTCACCAACTATTTTGTGTTTACTTTTCTACATGGTAAACTCTGCAGTAGCTTTGAAACTGTAATTTATTTTTGTATGAGGTACACTATATTCAGAATCCCCATTGTATATGGCTTGTGTTAGAAGCACTACCCTGAACTGTGAATAGTCTGTACACTGAACACGATCTGTAGACATGACCCATTCAAATAAAACAATGAGAACATTCATGCTTTATGAGCTGATTTTTGAGCATGCATGGCCCTGGCTGGATCGTTGAGTCAGAGCCACTGTTAATAGTAACCAGATGGAGTGAATCGGAGCACTGGTACTGTGTTGGGGATTTGTGTCAGTGTGGGTGTGGGAGGTTGGGAGTGGAGATGTTGCTAAAGCCCAGACTCCCGCTGGTGGCTGGGAGGTGGCTCCGTGGGCAGTGCCTCCCAAGCATGGGCAGAGCCCACAAAACCAGCCATGGGCACACATCTGTGATCCCAGCATCATGCAGTATCTCCTGAGGCTCGCAGCCCCACCCACCTGGCATGCCCAGCGATAGGTGAGAGACCCTGTCTCAAGGTGGGTAGCCAGGATCTACATGTGAGGTTGTCCTGACCTGCACATGTGTGCTCCTGCACTCCTACACATGAGTACAGACAGACAACGCACAAAGCTTTCTTAAAAAGGTATTGGTCATAATGGTACATCCCTGTAACCCCAGCCTTGGGAGGCTGGACGGTCAGTGTTCAAGGCCATCACAAACTATAGCAATACCGTCTCTAAATAAAAATAATAAAGCCCTCATTGCTTCTACCTAGTCCACCCTGGAAGGCCACAGTGTCACTCCAGGGACTTTGTAACATCTTGGGACTTGAATCTCCACTGCTTACTGCCCACAGGCATAGGGTCAATCATCCCGACAGAGTCCAGTACTGTCGTCTGAAAGGCCACATGCGTGCCGCAGCCTCCTGCTGACAGTAGGCCTCATCCTGCCGTCCCCAGCCCTCCTAGGTGCGGTGTTCTGTGAACAGCGTGGCTGTCCAGGTCATTTGGCAGGCTTCTGCTGGGCCAAGACACCACACCACAAAGGTAGCAAGGCTTCTGGGAAAGTGGGGACATTTTCCAGCTCCCTCACTCCTTTGCCTAGAGAAAGGACCTTTTCTAGGCCCTTCAGTTGTGCCTAGAAGGCAGAACATGGGCTCACCCACCTGTGCTGGACACTAAAGAAAACGCCAGACATAAGCGACAAAAGCCATCCTGACCCAAACAGGACAAGCCACGGGAAAAGTGAATTGTCTTCCACATCCACAGGAGGCTAGGTCATGGGCAGAACAAAGGGGGTGTTGGTGTGGACAGGTACCCAACAGCTGCTCTGCCCAGGCTGCGCTTCCCTGAAAAAGGGGGCAGATGCTGAGCTATGAAACACCCAGATAAACCCAGGCAGAGCAGATCCTGAGTCAGTTATGGTCAGGGGCCCTGATGGGTCCTGACTTCCTAGCTCAGTGTGGTCCATTCAGCGAGTATTCACCTCCCTAAACTGAGGTTCCACAACTCAGTGCTGAGGTTAAGCAGAGAGGGGGAGGAGGGCATCTCACCCAGGGAGGACATATGTCCTAGGCCAGGTTGACAGCTGTCTGACTCATGCTCCCAGGATAGCAAGATGTTAGGGAGAAACACTGTGAGGACCAGCTGCCCTGGCTCCTCAAGGCTGGGCATCAAATGAGTGCTTACCACAAAGCCCAGGATCCCACCCCCAGCACCACGTAAACCCGGGCATGGTGGTCAGTGCCTTCAGTCCAGCACATGGGAGGTGCGGCAGAAAGATCAGGAGTTCAGGTCATCCTTTACTACATAAGGACAGCCTGGGCTACAGGAGAGCCCCCCGCCACACACACACACAAAAGAAAACAGATGACCTGGCCTGGACCCTCACTGTACAGAGAGGAACCAGCTTGTCCCAAGCTTCCGGCTCAGCTCATGACACTCCAGGGCATCGACTCTGCTTGTTGCCCCAAAGCAGAGCTGCATGCAGCAGAATCGAAGCCCCACAGGAGCTTATCTGTGAGAGCAGTCCCTTCCCAGAGCAAGGGACGCATCCACACACAGACCTGGGGGCTCCACGCTTCCTCTCCCTGGAGTGCAGCCTGCACGTCCACACACAGACCTGGAGGCTCCACGCTTCCTCTCCCTGGAGTGCAGCCTGCACCCCCACCATTCCTGTCATCTGCTCCCAAACCCCCGTGTACTGGTTTGTAGGAGCCCTGGGTAGTCAGGCCTGGGTAGCCTACAGCTTCCTGGAAAAGGCCGCCCTCTCCTTGGAACTCTTCCTTGAGTTGAGCCTGGCTATTTTGTTCTGTTTGTTTTGGACATGGGGGTCTCGTGGTCAGTACCAGCCAGGAACTCGCCGTGCAGCTTGTGAGCTGCTCGCTGTGATGATCTTCAATTCCTGATTGTTGTCTCCATCCCTCAGATGCTGGGGATCTAACCGTCATGCATCCTAGGCAAGCAGTCTGCCAAGTGAGCTGCATCCCCAGCTGCCCCTGGCTGAGATTTGTTGCAGGTTACAGACCTACAGAGCTGGACACTCAGGAATCTGCACTGATCTCAGGTTGGCAGCTGATTGCTGGGCTGAACTGTGTGTCAGGCAGGCTCGAGGAGCAGCTGACAGAGGGGTCTGTTCAGGGAATCCGGTATAAAAGAACTGGCCTCCACTGGTAGGAAGCGCTGAGAGGCTGAAGAAAAGCAGATAGATCCAGGATAGCAGGGTGTGATTTTAACTGGACTCGCGGAAGCCTGGTCCAGAGCAGCAGCTGGGCCTGTGGATCTTTTAGGGGGATCCTCAAGTCAGTGGGTGGAGCTGGAATGTACCTCATTTTTCTCAAGCTGCTATCAAGGGTGCCAGGCACATTCCTGATGCCCACGGACTAGAGTCTGATTATGAAGTTCCACACCACTTTATAGGTTTGCCTCAGTAGTATGCTGGGTGACTTCGGGGGAAGGGGACCACCAGGATTACTAGAAGCCAGAGTGACAACTCAGCGTGGCTGCAGGTCACGTTTGGATCCCCACGTCATCTTCGGAGTAAAAGTTCATGGCCTAGGATATGAAGTCCTGTGACACTGGCAAGCTGCCCATGTAGAGCAGTACAGAATTTCAGAACACAAATGGACCTTGTAACCTTGTTCACCAAACTTCTGCCTGGGCCTTGTAAAATGGGAGTGCTTTAAATGCTACCTTGTTGTAGGAGGTCGCTTGCTCATCTCCCAGCTGCCCAGACGCCCGAAATAATCACACAGAAACCATTATTTGAATCATTGCTAGCTAGCTCTTCTAGAATTAACCCATTTCCAGTATTTTATATTTTACCACGAGGCTCATGGCCTACCAGCAAGGTTACAGCACATCTATCTCTGGTGATGGCTCCATGGCTTCTCTTGGCTCCACCGTCTTCCTCCCAGCATTCAGTTTGGTTTTCTCCACCTAGTTCTATTCTGCCCTATCAACAGGCCAAGCCAGTTTCTTTATTAACCAGCGGTATTCACAGCATACAGAGGGGCATCCCACATCACTACCTTGTACTGTGGTGAGGATTAAGAAAGCACAGGCTGCAGAAAGGGCCGCACACAAAGCGGGGAGGTGGCTCAGAGGGAAAAGCGCTTGCTGCCCAAATCACCAGCAACCACTCGGCTGGGTATAGTGGTGTAGGCATGTCAGCCCAACACTGGGAAGGAATAAATAAGGAGACCCCTAAGGCTTGCTGCCCCGCCAGTCTAGCTGAGTGGCAAACTGTGGATCAGGGACAAACCCTCTGTCAACAAGTAAGGAATGAGGACTCTGACCTCCACACACACAGCAAGCGGATACACATGACAGTGCACTGTGGCGGCTTGAATGATGTGGCTCTATAGTCTCAAGCATTTAGTAAATACTTGGTCCCCGCTGTAGGCACTGTTTAGGAGATGTGGCCTCATTGGAACAGGCACGTGACTAGGGGCAGGTTTTGAGGATTTAAAGACTTGGTCGTTTTGAGTTTCTCCACTTGCTGATTGGGATTTGAGATGTGAACCTTCAGCTGTTCCTGTCACCGTGCTGCCGGATTCCTGCTACGTGGAATCTTAACCCTCTGGGACTGTAGGCCAAATACCCCCTTCCTTCTGGAAGTGCTGGGATTAAAGGGGCGCCACCACTGCCCGGCGTTAGTTACATTCTTTATAGGAGGTGGAGGCCTGTCCCATGGTATTCGTACGTCAGCTCTCTCCATCCATCACGTGTATCCCAGAGCTCAAACTCAGGTGGGGCATGGTGGCCAGTTCCTTTGCCTGCTGGGCCATCTCAGCCCTGAATGCTGATGGTGATGGTGGTGTGTTCCGAGCCTGCCCTCGTCGCCCCACTGCGTTCCCACCCACCGGGTGACTCCCACAGTACTGAGTGGACCCAGCCACTGTTTCTGGGGCCTGACCTCACCTGCAGAGAGCTGCCTGAGTCACCGCACCTGCATTTCTGACTCTCCCCTCGGGGTTTGCTGAGCGCCTCAGTCAGGAGTGTTCTCGGCAGTCCTTCCTTCATCCATACCGCCTTTTCTTCCTGTTGAAACGGAAGTGGAGCTCCGACCGGCCCGTCCCACAATCCTCCTCTCCTGGATTTCTCTCAGTACTGCTTCACTTTGGCACCGAAAGCATCCCGCCTATTTCTGATGTGATATGAGCAGGCCAAGCTCTCCCTGTCACACCTCCTAGCTTCCCCTCAGACACAGCTCCTGAGGGAATTGCTCTCTGTGTCCTGACCCCAGGAGCCCCGCCCAGCCTTGCCTGGCCTCGTGGTGGCGTTTGCTGTTCTCAGCAATGCTTGGGCTTGTCCCATTTCTGCCTGAGAGCGACACTCGTCCCTGTTGTTGGGCAGGACAAACCACAAAGGTATGCCTGTGTTCGGAGAGGTGGGGCGAGGGGAGAGCACCAGCTGACTGCACGGGGTACCTCATGGGCCTCGCCGCATTCACCTGCCCGCCTGACGCTGTGTGGCTTTCTTTGTTAGCGCTGTCCTCCAAATCCCCAAGCTTAGCAGGCAGCTCGCATGACTCCAAAGCCTCTCTCTACCTCTGGGTGTTCAGTCTGCATTACCCCCCACCCCTCCTCTGGTGCCCCATTTGGGTTTTACGTGAACAGCTCAGTGTGAAGAGGAGCAGTTTTTGTGTTGAAGGCAGTCAGCCAGACAAGGGCCCATGTTCCCTGAACCGCCTTAG